CACTTCTACTTGGATGGGAATTGCTTGGTCCTGTGACATTGGCCAATGTGGAGGTTAATCTATTTCATCTGTAGTTAACCTGGTCCAAGTCAGCTGGAGACTGTGTGCACAGGCTAACTCTGGAGCCCCTGGACAGAGCCCCATCAATCCAACTTAGCTTTTCCACAGCCCCTTTTAGGCCCCAATACAGAATGCGCATCAGGGTAAGTAGTTAAGAGTGGCCTCCTTAGGCCAAGTACTGCCATTCCATGTTAGATTTGCACAGTTACTCAGTCACAGGCCTCATTGCACTTTCCATTTAAAAGCAGCTATGTTCAAAGCATCACATTCTCCTTCAGCTTAGTCTGTGGAAGGTGTCAGCATGAGCCACAGAGTAACATACCACAGCCTTCCAGGTGAAGGCAGCCTCTGGAAGGCTTATTCCCAGAGGCAGAGACCCCAGCCTGGATCGCAAAAGAGAACCAGGCAGGCAGGAATGAGGCTGTGGATGCTCAGTTTCTTTCTCCAGACTCACAAATCAGATTAAGGTGTCTTCTCCCGGGAGAACAGTAAGAGTTTCATCCTCCCTACTCAGTTAAAAAGTGCACCTCTTTGCACGAAGGCTTGGTCAAGTTACCACAGTTCGTGTTTTTGTCAGAAACCATTGAATGAATAGTGGCAGTTTCATCATGTAAATGGAGAAGTTCTGTTACTAAATGAATAAGCAGATCAGCAAAAATAAAGCAGAAAGGAAAAGAGGCTCAGCTTCAAGAACCCACAAAAAATACCTTTCTTGGTAGCTTTTTCTTACTGATTTTTAGTAAATGAAAAAAAAATTGTATGGTTTTCTGAGTCAGGTGTGGTTTAGTGGGGAAAAAAAATAGCCTGTGGTTTGAAGACAAAAGAGGGTATTGAATTCCAGCTCTAGAATGGCTGCAAGGCAGCGAGCAGTTTTAACTTCCCAAAGCCTTACTTTGAAGAGAATAACACTGACCTCAAAGCCAGGGGATTCGCCTATGTGGCATGTGATGCAGAGTAAGCAGTTATTCTCACTTCTTAGTCCTGCTGAAAGAAACCTGACTGCCAATAACCTCCATGCATTGGGTCAGGGGCTGGGAGAGCAGCCTGGCCAGAGGTCCTCTGAGCTGGGTAGTGTGGACTTCACCTGACCAACCTCTGGTGCCATGAACCAATGCCATGCCTCTCTTGTCCCCAACACAGGATGGAGCATACCGAGTGGGACTCAGGCCGAACTCCCATCATTGGCTCCTGTGGCGCTCAGGAGCAGGCACTTTTAATTGATCTAACCAGCAGCAGCTGTCGAAGGGTGAGACGGGAAGAAGGATATTGAGAGGATGTTATTCTCAGAGAGGGCTGGCTGTGAGGAGGCCAAGGAGTCCAGGGGGAGGCAGGTTGGGGGTGGATTGCAGAAGTTTGACCATAAGCCAGGTCAGGGGTTAAGACTGGAAGAGCTGAAAGATTGAAGGAATATGGTGAAATCAGCTTTGCTTACGTGCCGGATTACCCGGGGAGGGAGAGGGATGTATCCCAGAGATGGAACTTGCTGACTTTGTGCTTTCTCTTTCAGAGCCGGAGTGGTGCTGGGTGGAAGCGGGGCCTGCGTTCGCTCTGCCATTCCCGCACCCGAGTGCCCCTACTAGCAGCCATCTACCTTCTAGTGGTTCATGTACTACTTATTCTGTGTTTCACGGGTCATCTGTAAACTTATTTGTCACTTTTTAGACCACTCCCCTCCGAATTTGGGATTCCCTTGGCCTCTAGCCTCTAGTGTCAGAAGTGTCAAGTCCCATGGAACCAGTCTTCCCTTTAGAGACCATCTCCAGATCGCCACAGAAAGTGCCTGCAAAAACACACAGGTGGCTTTGAGGACAAGGTGGAGATGCAGGGACTGGTGTGCTGACTTGCTTCTGCCACTCACAGCCTGGAGATTTCTGTCTAAGTTGAGAAGCCCCACCGTTGGTTTGTTGAGGCCAGTTTTGTTCAGATCTTGCTGGGTCCTGATCGTTTATGGTCCTGTAAAAGATACTGAGGAATGCATTTCAGCCAAGCAGGAAGATGGTTCCAATAAACCAAATCTGCCCAAGACCAATATCATCTTCATTGATAACTCTCCTTACCACATTTGCCTAGGTTTCTCCTGCTTTGAGGGGAAGATGGCCCTGTCAAAGGCAGAGTTCTGGGGAGGGACCCATTGCCTCACAGGACATGCAGCTAAGTCCGCTGCAGATCGGGGTAGATGTTGAAGAGCTCTCTGGAGGGGTTCACTTGAAAAGTCTGTGGGAAGGACAGCCTCGTCTTCCCGAACTGTTCAGCCCCAACTGTGGTGAAGATTTGTGGTCCTGGACTGTAAGCATAGGATCCCATCTCCTGTGCACTTGATCTTGGGTATGAAGGTATTAAGTGACCAGTGCCTTTCTTTTCTCCGAGGCAGGAAAAGCCAGCTGTGGACAAGCAGATTTCCAATTCTTGTCATTCCTGTATTATCTGGAAATGCCCTGAATGGGGCCTGGAGAGTGTTCCCAGAGGCCAGCAGGAGGTGGGAAGTGTTGACTCACAGCCAGGGCTCTGGTAGCCACACTGCAACTCCCAGGGCCGTGTGGAGCACTGGGCCGTTTTGATGGCGGTGACGGCTGTTCCACTTTCTCAGTCTCAGAGTCCTCTGGCCTCTGTGGAAATAAATAGTAAAGAGAAGATAGAAGATTTAAACCAGGCCCTGAAAGTGAGAACCAGGACTGGATTCCATTTGTGCCTGTGTCCTCCCTGCCCTCCCTGCCCTCCCTTCCCCATCCTTCCCACTTGGCTGTTTTTTCACTATGTACATTGTATGTTTCCTGCCTATTGTCACCACCCAAGGAAGAGGGAAGACTGGTAGGTGTCCAATCTGCTCTAAATCTTGGTTTTATGGTGATTGAATGTTGGTCACAGAATCCCAGGGACTTTCCTGAACAACTGTAAGATAATAAAATTATTTTCAGAATGAAATATTGTGTTTGTGTGTGTGTGTGCATGCCTTAGAAAAGAATAACTATCGGGGGTGGGAGACAGCTCTATGTTCAGGCTTCCTTCTCACTGGCCAACGTCAGTAAATCGCTGCATGTATCCCCTTAGCTTTAGCAGCTAGATCCTAGGATAAGGAAGTATAATGAGAAAATTCCATTCTAATCCTGAGACAGACTGGGCCTTAAGGCATGAAATTCCTGTGGGATTCATATAACATCCTGGGAGGACTGTTGGCTGGTGCTGAGAAGATTAGGTCCCCAGGGATCCCTCTGGTAGGAGTAGGAGAAGGAAGTTTAATAACAGATCAGGTTAGATGTGCATTATGTTTTTATGTTAAGTTGCCACTTGGGAAAAGCTGGCACACTTTTCTCAAAGTATAATAAGTAACTTAATGGAACTAATTCTGGCTTGCTTAAAAGCTCATGCTATTTTCTTTTCTTTTTTCTTTTTTTTTTTTTTGTATTTATTCAGAAGGCAGAAGAACAGAGCTCTTTCATCTGCTGATTCAATTCTGAAAATGGTCATTAACATTGTCTGTCCTGAAGCCAGCAGCTTAGAATGCCATTCAAATCTCCCAAGTGGGTGGCAAAGTCCCTAGCATTTAGGCCATCATCTGCCGCAATCCCAGGTGTGTTAGCATGGAACTGGATCAGAAGTAGAGCAGCCAGGACTTGAGCTGGTGCTCTGACATTGGACAACGACATGTAGCTTAACCCACTGTACCACAATGCCAGCCATGTCCCATGTTTTTGATTACACCTTGACTCCTTCTTGGGGATGAACCTGGGGCGTTTTCTAAGGAGAGATGAAGTTTTTTGGTGTCATCTCTATTGATACTCAGTAAATTATGTACCTGGATCATGTGTCGCAATGTCTGGTCTGATCATTCCTATTTTAATATGTTAGAATTCCAAAAGATCTAAAAGGGCTCTTTTCCTTCAATTATAAATTTATTCTTCCTTAAAGTACATTTAGTGCCACCATTACAAATCATGAAGTAGAAGAAAGAAAGAAAATTGCCTCCAGACTTAGATCCTCAGATTTGAAAGTGACCTTTGAGACTTACTATCGCTATTACAGAAATGCTCTGGTGTGTAATAGATCAATTTTATGCAGTTCTACTCGAGCCTTTTGGGGAGTAAATCAAGGTCAGAAGTCTGCAGACAAGATTCAGCAAAGCTAGATCAAGTAAGCAAGAAACACCCAAATTCTCAGTAGCTAAAACAAGGCTGTTTTATCAGAAGAGGCTTTGGTGGGCAGTGAGCCAAAGAGATGGCAAAACTTGCAGTGATCCTATGTCCCCACCACGACTAGCCAACACTAGTCACCTGTGCACATTTGACAAGCAGGGAGGGAGGGCAGCAAATCTTAACCAACAACAAGGCAGAATACTGCAGACACTGCCCATCAGCATGTACCTGTTTGTTTCAGAATTCTGTCTGGTGCCGGATTTTTCCACCTGTAAGTTCAGCCTCTACAGTGTCACCTAATAAGCTATGAGCCTTTCCCCTTCCAGGTCTTGCCCTTTTCCTTCAGTCAGTTGAGTGATGTTTGTTTGACTAACTAGCAGAAGAAAGCCCCATGTTTGAGTGCTGTGGGCCATGGAGCAGTTATTCTTCAATCTTCCCTTCAAAATCCACAGTAGTCACTTCTCCAGTTAAGCCTTTGTGGCAACCACCGCCAGATCTCCAAATCCCCAAAGCCTCTGCGACAACCCATCCCCAAATCTCTGAATTCCTTTGTTATCACACGTATATCTACCCACCTATCAAGTGCCTCAGTGCTGTTCTGCAGCATTGTCTGATCTGTTTCTGATGGAATATTTCTCTGGATCACAAAGTCTGAAAGTTGGAGCTACATTATCTGTGCCTGTCCAAGAGCCTCAAAACCTTGCTGAAGGCAAGACACAGAAACGTAGAATCCTCTCTTATTTAAATGCCTAAAGCAGAAGGAACTGACTCAAACTTCAGGAAGTAGCTGTGAAGACAGTGTGGCAGGAAATGACAGAAAATCTGAAGACGGAACTGAAGCAGCAGCTCGGTCTGCTTGCTGAAGCAGACAACCAAATAGGGAGTCTGGTGTGGACGTGAGGAGCCTGGGGCCTAACGCTGACACTCACACCTTTGGAGGTAGGTACTCTTGACCATGGGAGAGCCGAGAGCTTGGGGTGGGGGCTGAAGCGGAAACTACCTGAGGGTTAGTTCATGGGGAGGGAAGTTAGGCCTGGGGTGTGGGGTGGAGGCAGGGTTGTGGGGAACCAGCAGCTGCAAGGGACTCAAGCTCAGGGAACAGGGTTTACAGTCATCCAGGACTCCAAATCAGCTGCAGGGTTGTCCCTGTGAGACCCGTTGCCATGTAGGGAGGAAGAGTACAGGCAGCAAAGATCAAATCTCTTGAAAACTTGTGGTCCAATAAAGAGACTAAACCCACAGGAAGCTGTTGCTTGCATACTCTTCTGCTGAGAACCCACTACTGATGGAGGCTCAAGGAAGACATGATTGTTCCATTAGGACATTTTCTGTGCTCATGGGATCATTCAATCCCAGAATGTCAGAAATGGTGGAGGTTTTCTAGGTTAGCTAGGTTAACCCCTTCTTTGGCTTTTCACTGAGGAAGTCAGAGATAATAGGTGGTTTGACAAATAAAGTAGATGAGCATTTGTGGAGGATCTTGTCTGCTTGCCACTTAGCCAATGAGAACATACTCTGTTCATTGTTTCACCACGACCCCACAGAGGCTCTGTCACAGAGCTGAGCTGATCGCTGGATCCCCTGGCTGCCAGTTCATGAACTGCCATGTCAGCACTGAGATGAGACCCTAGGTGCAGCTGGGGCCACCCTCTCGTCTCCTGCTCCTAAATAGCACCCCTGGCCTTCCTGACCTTTGGTCTGTATGTCAAGGCTAGTATGTCTGTCAGCAACTCTGAAGGTGGGAGATTTGTTGGAAAGTCAAGCTGAGGCCTGAGAGGGAGAGCAGGGAAGAGGATGGAACCATTGGTCTTCATTGCTTCCTTATTGCTTGTGAGTATTTCAGCAACTTCTCCTTTGCAGTTTTGTAGTGAAGTCCTTTGGTTGCGGAGCAGCCCAGGAGCCAGCATGCGGAACAGCAGGGTTGTAAAGGAAGCAGGAGTGTATTATCTACCTGCCTCCTTTGCATAACTCTGCCCTATGAGAGCAGACCAAGCCTCTCTGAGCGGTGACTTACCCTGTGGTTAGGATGAACCAGTCAGCACTTCCTGAGTGTTCCCATAGCATCTCATCGGCTAGAATCTACCCCAAACTTCCCCTGAGCTGGTATTCACCAGTTGTTCAAAGACCATGGAGAAAGATGAGCTTTTCAAGGAGAAAGAGAAAGCTGGGGAATAAAAGGGCTATGGGTTGGACAGCCAGGAGAGGTTGTGAAAGGGAGACCATGAGGAGTGCGGTTGAGGTTTCTTGGGGATAAGGAGTCTGAGGAGGGGTCATGGACAGGGAAGTTGCCACCTAGCAGGTGCTGTCTGAATCCAGAGGTCTTAGTGGCCCCAGGGTAGATGATTTGTCCATTGTTTCCTTTTCATGCCAAGACCCAGAGCAACTGTGCAACTCCTTCTCATGCAGTTAGCAAGGATAAGTAGGACACTGGGAATGTCCTTGAGTAACAGGTTGGAACTCTTTCCAGATTGTGATTTGTACATTGTTAAGCATTTTTTCAGTTACTAATAGTCCTATACCTCCTAATGGTCTAAATAAAGCATTTATTACATGCTATGTTTTGAACCATTTTTCTTTCTCGAATTATAATTTAACTTTTAAAGCTCAAAGGCATCTATATTTTTTTAAATGTTTATTTTTATCTTCTTGAAAGGCAGATATAAAGGGAGGGAAGAAGGCAGGGAGAAAGTGAGATATTAATCTTCCATCCACTGGTTCACTCTCTCACTGTCCAAACCAACCAAGCCCAAGCTAAGAGCCCAGAACCCCTGCAGGTCTCCCCCTTGGGAAGGAGAGGCCCAAGCACTTGAGCATCATCTTCGGCCTCCCAGGATGTATTAATAGGAAGCTGATTTGGAAGCAGAGTAGCCAGGACTCGCACTGGCATTCCAATGTGGGTGTTGCAAGTGGAGCTTAACTCATTGCACAGTTGACTGTCACTTCTGAACTACTTTTAAAAATTGAGTAATGAGTAACTTATTCCCTGCAACTACTGCTTCCCTGTGTATTATTCAGTTTGAGTATTGCAGCTGACTGTTCCCACTGACCTCCCACAGCTGTGCAGTGACCAATCTTGAGACAGAAGTTAGGTGCCGATGCTGAGGTTGGAAAAAAAATCTCAATATGGTTAAGCAGGTTGTAGCTAAGAGTCCAGAAAATCACTTTTCCAGGGGTTTGGTCAGTTGGGAGCCAAAAAGGGAATCATATGTAAAAATCTGAATGACATGGTACATCTCACTGATGGCCCCTCCAAGCCACTACCTTGCTGACTGGACACAAACAACAGCAACCATTCTAAGAGTCTAGTTATTCAGTATTGCCTGCCTTTAAGGGGGTTCTTTTCAGACCCAGGAGGGCCCAGGCCACATTTTGTCTTTTCCTTCCTCCTGTGGCTGAGAAATGCTTCCTAAAACATGTATCGGCTTTAACTCACATTCATTTTCATAGGATAAAAAAAATGGCAGGAAACATTGGAGCTGCTCTATCATTGATTTTAAGCATTCTAGTTTTCCTTCTTGTTGATATTTCTTCTTGTCCTCAATTATTCCCATTTTCTGTCACCCTCAGATGTGGAAGTCTGTAGTGGGACATGATGTATCTGTTACTGTGGAGACCCAGGGCGATGACTGGGACACAGACCCTGACTTTGTGGTGAGTTGGAAAGGAGCTTTACTTGTGTAATGAGGAGGGTGCTTGTGTGAGAAGGGAGCAATGTCACTGTATGACCTCTGAGGGAACTTACGCAGGTTCATTTGGGACTGAGTTCTCATGATGGGTAATCAATAAGGTAATTGGCTGACATGAATGGGGCATGTTGCAAATGGAAGGAATGGAGTGAATGAGTTTGGACAGTATATGGACAGGCTGTAACAAGCTGTGCTGAAGATAAGGAGCAAGTGAATGTGTGTCTTATCTGGTCTTTGATCCAAGAATGAGGCATAATTTTCCGGGGAAGGAGTGGTTACATGAAAGATGCTAAGGAGGAAGGAATTTTTCAGAGCTCACCAGTTTAATTTTAATGTGGGTTCAGTATAGAGAGGACTATGAATATAGACTGGGGAAGGCAGCTGATGCAAGGAATGTAGAGGGAGTGTGCCAGAGTTGTATGGCCCCATGTAGTGTGGAACATTTTCAGCCATCACTTAATCCTGGGTGCTGTGTTTTGCAGAATGACATATCTGAGAAGGAGCAGAGATGGGGAGCCAAGACAATCGAAGGATCTGGACGCACAGAGCATATCAAGTAGGTGCCCAAAGGATTGGGCATGGAAATAGGGTTATGAAGAGCTTATAGAAAAGTTGGAGACTCACAGAAGATGAGGAAGGAGAGAGGGAGGTTCATGCCTGTATATCTTCGTTTTTATCTAAACTCTTTTTTTTCCATTTTGTTTGGTCATTTTGTTTCCATTTCAACTCTCTTTTATTAAAAAGATTAATTTGCTTTTATTGAAAAGGTAGATATACAGAGAGAAAGAAAGAGAGAAAGATCTTTCATCCACTGGTTCACTCCCTGAGTGGCCATAATGCCCAGAGCTTAGCCTATCCGAACTTAGGAGCCAACAGCCTCTTCTGGTCTCCTGTGGGTGCAGGGTCCCAAGGCTTTGGGCCGTCCTCTACTGCTTTCCCACGCCACAAGCAGGGAGCTGGATGAGAATTGGAGCAGCTAGGACATAAACAGCACCCAAATGGGATTCCAGTGGTTGTAAAGTGAGGATTTAGCAACTTGGCCATCGTGCCAGGCCCTCAACTCTCTTCTTTTATCCCCAACCTTATTTGTTTATTGTCTCAACAACTCTGCTCTTTCCTGAGTCTGTTATGTTAATTTTCTCCCTTAGTTAAGACATGAAGACCTTAAACAGGAAGTGACTCAACTATCGATATAGTTTCTGCTGTCTGTGCATCCATCTATCATCTGTCAGTCATTTCACCATCCTTCCAAAAATAAAAAGTATGTTTAGAATGCAGGTTGACATGCAACCTAGGAGGGATTCAGCAAAATATCAAGGTGAAAACTTAGAAAAATGCTATGGAAAGAGGACAGCTTCTATTCTTGTCTCAAATTTATTTTTAAATTCTTTTTCTAATTATTATTATTTTCCATGATACAGTTTTATAGGCAGAAATTTGGCACTCTCTCTCCCTTCCTTCCCTCCCCATTAAACTCCCCTTACCCTTCCCCCCGTATTATTACAATAATATAATCCTTCAGTCACAAGTCCCAAAATCTGCTGTGTAACATGCCATTGTAGGTTTAGGCAATGGTAGAAAATCTAGTATCATATTGTCAAGGTATATTTCATTGTTTCATTGGGAGTACTCCTTTTATTCAGAAGTAGAGAGGCATACTGCAATGTATCTTCATTCCCTGCTATACTGGTCTCCATTATACAGTTATGAGAATGTATGTATATACTTGCTCACCTATATATCTATTTGTTTTGTATTTTGCATGAAGGTTGCAAACATATGATATTTATTGCTCTGAGATTATTATTTCGTTGAGTATAAGGATCTCCATTAGGGATCTTTCAAATGGATTTTAAAATACAAATTTGTACTTGACTCCCTGATAGAAATTAAAAGCCATGAATGGTATCATAAACAAATATGACACTTGGGGAGCTGGTGTGGTAGAATATTAGGCTAATCCTCTGACTGCAGTGCTGGCATTCCATATGTGTGCCAGTTCATATCCTAGCTACTTTACTTCCAATCCAGCTTTCAGCTAATGGTCTGGGAATGCAATAGAAGATTTGACCCAAGGCCTTGGACCCCTGCACCCATGTGGAAATTCCATTCAAGGTTTCTGGTTCCTAGGCTCACACTGGCCCAGCTCTAGCCATTGTGGCTATTTGGCAAGTGGACCAGCAGATGGAAGTTCTCTCTCTCTGCCTCTTCCTCTCTCTCCCTCTCTGTAACTCTGACTTTTTAAAACTGTTATTATTATTCCTTGATATAGTTCCATAGGCTCTGGAATTTCCTTTCTCCCCCCCCCCAAGTCCCAACACCACCCCCCCCACTAATTTCCCTCATGTTGTTACAATAGCCTAATCCTTCACAATCAGTCATAAGTCCATTATTCTTCAATTTAAGTGTATCTTGACATTGTAGGCATGGACATTGGCAAAAAGTCCAGCATCTTATTATCAAGAAACATTCAACAGTTTCATTGGGAGTCTATCTTTGATTTGTAAACAGAAATGCACACTGCATTTTATCTTCACATCTACATGTAATAATCTCTGCTACACAGTTACTATATTTCCCCTTAAAATGAAAAGCCATAAAACAAAACTAATAGGAAGGAAAATAGAAAATTTGCAAAAACGCAAAGCTAAATAATATGCTACTGAATGACCAATGTGTGAATACAAAGAACTTCAGAAACTCCAACAGCAAAATAAACAACTCTATGAATAAATGGGAGAAAAAAATAAACATTTTTCAAAGGAACAAATTCAAATGGCTAATACACATATGAAAAAATACTCAGGTTCCCTAGCTATGGAGAAAATAAGGAAATATAAATGAAAACCACATTGAGATACCACCTAACTCCAGTGAGACTGGCCTACATTCAGAACTCAACTAACATTTGCTGGCATAGATGTGGGGAGAAAAGTGTCCTATTTCACTGTTGTTAGGAATGTAGGCTAGTACACCCACTTGCGAAGTGAGTATGGAGGGTGCTAAGAAAAATGAAAATTGATCTGCCAAGGACCAAGCTATCCCACCGCTGGGAATATATCAAGGGAACTTAATGAAGTCTGTATGAGAAAGAGATCTGTAGTCCTGTATTCACAGCTGCACAGTCTGCAATGGCAAAGGCATGGAAAGAACCCAGATATCCGTCCAAAGAGGAGTGGGTAAAGAAACTCTGGAACATCTACTTCATGGAATACTACTAAATCACTAAAAAGAATGAAATTTTGCCATTTGTCACCAAATTGTCCCAACTAGAGACCATGATGCTCAGTTAAACAAAGGACAATTATCATATAGTCTCTCTTATGTAAAGCAGCCTTCATGCAAAATGCAAGATCAATAGCCCTTTCAATACTGTTTTTGTTACATCTCAGGGGGTTTGATATTTTTGTTTTTATTTTCATTTTGTATATTTAGTATAAATGGTTTGTGGTAAGTGGTTACAATGAATATTATTCTTAAAATAAGCAATTCTGGAAGCAGCTGCAGTTAACAGCCTTCCCCCTCCCTCCCCCCACACACATGAAGGAACAGGGTCACTCAGGAAGCCTTTTTGATGCTACTCTTGTGTAGGTTTATAGATCAAAAAAAAAAAAATCAAGACCTCATTCCCTTTGCTGAGAACTGTGGTTGTCTTTGCCCTTTCAGTGTCTTAAGTAAGGCAGGTAGAAGTAGACTATTTTAAAGTAGGCTCCTCAATTTGTATGTGTTCTTACGGTAAGGCCTTGAGTTTGGATATCAGACAGATGTGATTTCAGTTAGCAGCTCTGCCACTACTAATGATGGAACCTCCTCAGAATCTCAGCTTGTTTGTCTGATGGGGACAACCACAGCTATCCTACAGGTTTCTGATAGAATTCAGTGGGATAGCCTAATGCAGCATTTAGCATTTGCCAGCAGCTCAATAATGAGCTTTCTGTTTCCCACTTCCTCCCACCAAAACCTAACATAGAGTAAACAAAGGACCACCATGCTTGCTAAATGATGTTAGGCTGGCCTGCTGTGTTGCATCACTCCAGGGTATAGGTTGCTCTGACTGATGTTTCCTAACATAGTACAATGTGGTGATTGTATATATTTCCCTGTCAACCTCCTTGGATCCATATTGGACAGAATAAATGACAGAGAAGTGTGATGATGTAGTGGGGTCAGCCACCACTTGGGAGGCTCACAGTGCATATGGGAACAGTGTTTGAAGTCCCAGCTACCCGGAGCTTTGGATCCCTCTCCTGGGAAGATAACAGGTTGATAGCTCACATCCATACTGAGTCCCTGCAATGCCTCTGAGAGACCTAGCTGGTGTTCCTGACATTGGCATGGCCCAGGTAGAGTTGTTGAGGGCTTTGGGGGAGTGAATGTGCAGGTAAAAGTGCCCTTTCTTCCTTTCTCTGTCTCTTCCTCTCTCTATGACACTCTGCCTTTCAAGTAAATAAATGGTCTTTTCTAAAAAGAAAAATGGTAGTGATAGCTCCACCAAAGTTCCCTTGCCTCTTTTTTCTGCAGGCCATTGAGCTATAACAGGCCGGATGACCCTGGGCAAGTCACTCTTCTTTGGCTCTCATTTTGCCAGGGGACTTTGCAGTAGTGAGTCTCTGTTAGTCTGGGAGCCCGTGGCTTACCCCATGTGGGGTAAGCCCATCATGAAGCCTTGAGTGGGATCACTTCAGCCCCTGGAGAGGAGGACGGGGAGCTATCTGGGGCCAACAGCAGCAGCATAGCTGAGGTAGCTCAAAGTAGGAACAGGAAGTGTTTGTGGTTTCCTCCAATCTTGCTACTTCCTCCATAGCACAGTTTCTTTTTATATCTGTCTCAAACAAATTTAGTTTGGGGAGTAGTGTGGTAATTCAGGGAGTGAGTCAAATGACCCCTTGCTCCCTCATATATTGTATAAAGGAACGCTCTGCTTTCCCAGGACTGTTGCCCTTCCTCCAACTACTCTACTCTGGCCCATTCATGTTCTTTTAGTATCTATTCCTTGGCTAGTCAGGATCCTTATGACCCCAGAACAGCTGTGAGAAAGGACAACAATGTTTGCATTTTTGTTTTTCAGCTCTGCCACAGATTGAAATTTACAAAAAACAAAATTAAAACCCAGTGGGCTTCAGTGCAATGGTTTTGATGCCACTTGGAATGCCCACATCTCCTACTGGAGTGTCCTTATTTGGGTCCCAACTCCACTACTCTTCCTGCTACCAAGCACCCTGTGGTCAACCACGTGATGACTTTACCACTTGTCCCAGACTGAGCTCCAACCTCCCAAATTCACCTTTTTCTAGCTCTGGCTGTTGCAGACATTTGGATAATAAACTAGCAGATGGAAGATGTTTAAAGTTTAAAAAGTATAATTAGAATAGGCTGCTGTCTGGTGTGCCAGTCGAGCTCCCTGCTACTCTGCCTGGGAGAGCAGAGGAAGACGGCCCAAGTGTCTGCACACCTGCCACCTATGTGGGAGAGCCAGAATAAGCTCCTGACTCTTGGTTCTAGCCCGGCCGTTGTGGGCATTTGGAGAGTGAGCCAGCCAGCTAATGGAAATTTTTTTCTCTATGCATGTCTTTCAAAATAGAAAACTAAATATTTTAAAAAGATAAAATTACAATGACTGTTGTAGCCTTGTCATGTCAAGAAATTAAATGTTATTCTAATCTTCCTCTCCTTGGGATAAAAGAAAAAAAGTTTACTATTCGAGGACTTTACATTTCCACATGCACTTAAACATCACTTAGTCAATTCCCACATAGATGTCTACTTGGATTTTGATGAGGAATGCATTTAATTTATAGATGTTTTGGGAGAGAACTGGCATCTTTCTAAGTTTTCTAATTCATTAACATTTCTAATCCATTTGTTGAGATTTTCTTTAATTTTTAAAAATGTATTTATGATACATTTCCATAGGCTCTGAGATATCCCCTCTCTAATTCCTCTCCTTAGCAGGGAGCTAGATCAGAAGTGGAGCAGTCAATTCCTGAACCAGCAACCATGTGGGATGCTGGCATCATAGGTGAAGGCTTTACCTCATATGCCACAACTCTGGCCCCTACTTTTAATTTTCAATTTTAGAAAGTTTGTGGCTGATATATAGCAAAACAATTTAAATATAGAGACCTTAGCACTTTCAGCTTTCACTATCTTTTTCGTGTGTGTGAATTATTTAGTATTTTCTACATACAGGATCCCATCACTTATAAATAAAGACTTAAAGTCTAATCTTTGTTCCTTTAATCCGAATGATCTCTTTTGCTTCTTAGCCCATTTGTAAGGTTCTGGATCTTGCTTAGTTCCCATATACTGCATTGCTTTATCCACTCCAAGGCATTATAAAACTCAAAAACAAGACATGTGAGTTAATTTGTGAGGAGCTTCTTTTGTGTTGTTTCCTAGTTTTGACACTTAGCATGTTCAACTGTAGTTGTTTTTCTGTTATTTTGCTCTCTTATTTTTCTCCTTGAACATTATTTTCATATATGGATCACCTTTAAGTCCTCAGACCTAGCAGTATCAAATACTCAAGAATTGTTTAATATGTATTGAATAAAGGGATGGTATCATTAAGACATATTGAGAATGGTTTTACCAGGAGCTTATAGAATTATATCATAAAATGATGATAATAATAATAATAATAAAATGTAAAATGTGAAAAAAAGAGAGAATGGTTTTAGCTTTTATTCTAAAGAAGTTCTAATAAGTTGGTATTCTTTAATCCGAATAGTTTCATTCAAATTATATCATATGTTGTTGGATTCTCTGTATAGCTTTTCTACTGTTTATTAAGTGGGCATTCTTTGTGCAGCATTTTCTAATTCCTTTTAAAAACGTGTTTTAATTGTAATATAGCTATGACCCACTTAATAACCAATGAGCTCATTAAGATTTTACAGAATGTTCCCATTTGAAAGCAACATTTTTCCCATTGTCTTTGTTCTTTGATACGTATTTGGGGACCATTGGGAAGTCGTTTATGTGTTCTTGGAGCCAGGAATGTTTCAAAGCAGTCAGTTCTAAACTGTTGATGGTGTTGAGCTAGCAACACAGGATCGCTGCTTGCATGGCTGCCAAAGGGTTTAGAGGCACAGGAACAGTGGGTGCTTCCAACACTTAGCTTAATTCCATCTGGTCCACAGCCAGCTTGCTAAAATTAACTGTGGCTAAAGCTAAGAAGGGTTTTTCAAAGCCCTTTAGAGGGATTATCCTACAAGGCCAGCTGATGGACCAGTTCTTCTGGAAGAGAAGAGAATTTGTGTAGCGAAATGCTCATTGACCTGTAGTGGATGTGTCTGCTTGACCTGAGTTAATAAAATCTCAAGAACGTCGCCATCCCATCTCCAACCCTCAACGCTTTCAGGAAGTCAAATTTCTTATTTATGTTTCTAAGACTTCCCCCAGAAGTTCTTATCTGAGTCCAAATATCAGCCCCATTGTCCCTTGTTGGTTTCGGTACCCAGCCATCATCTCATATCCTCAGGCCATACAGGTTGGCAGAGGCAGCTCTCCACCCTCTTCAGTGTTGCAGTCACCATCAGGGTGAACCTGGAAAGGAACGTGAAGTAAGAGAGTGATTCCTTTCACTATTGTATCCCTTTAGTGAGAAAGGAATCTCAAACCAAGGTTATCAGAGCCTCATTTTGTTACAACAATGAACTACATGTGAATTTTAATATTTAGCTTTTATAGGTTCTTAGTTTTTTTTTTTCCTTCAGGAATTATCAGAGTTGTATAGGGACAAAGGATGTCCATTGTTAAACAAACAAAACAGTAATGTATAATTTCCCCAGTGCTGCATTGTTGTAAGCATCACTTTCAAAGACTTCCTAGCATGATATTGAAACGCAATATTTCATTTTACTTAGTTATTGTCCATTTTTTGCCCATTTAGCTTGTTTCTTGGTTTTGCTAGTCTAGCTGGGTTTGGAAAAAGTTCATAAGAAATGCATTTATGAAAAAACTATGCAGAGTCTAAAAACGTTATCACTAAAATAAATTACTTTTAATTCCATTTCTACTAATTCTTGAGATGTTTGCATAATTATCTGAATCATTATATATTCAATTAATTCAATGAATCATTAGACATTAAGCTTCATAGTTAAAATTCCCACAGATAGACTCCCAAGACTAAAATATGTGTGTTTGAAGTTTGCAAATACGTTTGTGCTTCTTGAGATAGGTCACCTGAAAAAGCTCAAAAATGCAGGGCCGCTTGAAAACATGCAGAACCGTGCAAAGGCAAATAGCTTCCTAGCTGTCAGAATGTAGATATCACTTCCCTCTAAATTTATGCACATTAAAAATTGGCACCAAATGGTTATTTTAGTGAGGAAAAAATAATAGGCCAAGAGAAATATCATTGCCTTCTGGAGAATTTAAACCAGGCTATGGTTTGCAGGCCATACTTATCTCTTACCTTGAGACGCATCATTAGTATATTTTAGGGGTTTTTCTTGTTGATAAAAATAGGTAGAACAGACCACAACATTTCCCTTCTTCTGAGAAGGTGGGTCCACTGACCTCCCTGTACCAGATAAGTATCAGTCACCTGTGTTTCCTAGTATCCACCAGCTGAGGAGCAAAGTGTCAGAGGAGCATGATGTTCTCAAGAAGAAAGAGATGGAATCAGGGCCCAAAGCATCCCATGGCTATGGAGGGCGATTTGGAGTGGAAAGAGACCGAATGGACAAGGTGAGTGGCAATAGAAAGATTGTAAAACAAAACAAAACAAAAAACAGATTAACTCATTTATTGGTTTTATTTTTTAAAAAAAGATTTTTTAAATTTGAAAAACAGAGTTACAGAGAGAGAGAAAGAGATCTTCCATTCTCTGGTTCATGATCCAAATGGCTATAATAGCTGTGGCCAGGCTAGACTGAGCCAGGAGCCAAGAGTCTCATCCTGTTCTGCCACCTGAGTGACAGAAGCCTAAGTGCTTGCACTACCTTTCCTGGGCATATTAACAGGGAGCTGAATCACAAGTGGGGCAGCCAGGACTCTACATAATACTTTCATGAGATACAAGTGATAGCTTAACTTTCTGGGCCATGACACTGGCCTACATTTTGTGTTTTTAACTATTTATCTATCTCTCTATTTATAAAGAAGAGCAGCAGACAGGAAAGGAGATACATCTCAAGAGATCTGTCATCTGCTGGTTTACTCCCCAAATGATCACTGAACCCTTTGCTGGGCCAGAGTAAAGTCAGGAGCCAGGAAGTCCATGCAGGTCTCCAATGTAGATGGCAGAATTTCAAATACTCAACCTACCATATGCAGCTTCCCACGCACATTAGGAAGGAGCTAGGTCAGAAGTGGAGTGGCCAGGATTAGAACTTTAATATGGGGTGCAGTTGTCTCAAGTGGTAGCTTAATCCACTGGGCCATGTCACAATGCCCTGGTTTTACGATGTAAAACATGACCCAGAAATGCAGTATTCATTTGGGTTCTAAAAGAAAGTGTCACAAATATTTTTATCAATTTTTTTCTGATCCCAACACATGGGACAGAGATGGAGTAGAATGAAAGTCAAGACATGAGAAGAGCTTGCCTGTGGTAGCCCCAGGCACACAGCCACCTATAGACTGAGAGAGGAAGCATAAGCAGAAAAAGGGAAAATATGTTTTCAAAACAGTTACCTTTTTTCAATTGATTGTGTGTTATACCTATGTTGCAACTTCACTTCTTATATTGTTTCATAAAAAATCAGAGTTCACTCAGGAGCTTTGGTGACCAAGAGCACAGGTCTAGAACAAAATCAACTAGCTAAATTACTGCATGATTTTCAATCCCAGTGATACCATCCAATCGATCCTCTTTAATCACTTCCTCAAACTAGCCTTGTTTCTGTTGTAATACCTTTGCTCTAGCACTTTTGTTCCCATGTAAACGCAGCTCTGTGGACATAGTCTCTCATCTGGCTCCCAGCCTGCTCTCTGGGGGTTTTCTGAGTGGAGGCTTCCTAATAGCATTAAGAAAGAATGAGCTTTGTGCAAGGCTCTGCAATAAGTCTCCTTGCTCTCCTGACACACATTCCTTCGCACCACCATCATAGGCTACGAGTGTGATCCAAATGAAATTTCTTATATCTGTACATGATACTACTCCAATTCTGCATCAATTTTTTTGAGACTATGTTGACCTTTTTCACTCACCCAGTGCTTGGTTTTTCTCAGAGCGCAGTGGGCCATGAGTATGTGGCTGAAGTGCAGAAGCACTCTTCTCAGATTGATGCTGCCAAAGGTTTTGGGGGCAAATATGGAGTGGAGAGGGACAGGGTTGACAAGGTAAGTGACAAGTCTGTCTTGGCAAATCCAGCTCAAATCACATGGGAACTACCAGCTTGCCCTTGAATGTAGGTCAGTGGTGCTCTGTGAAAGAGGAGATGAATGCTCTTCATGAATGGGGCAAATCACCATCACTGTGCTAGTTCCCAGGCCTTCCCTAGTCAGTCTCTGGTGCCAGTGTTGGAGGGCACATGCTGAGCAGAAAGGCAGACACTTACCTGAACCCCCAAAACTCTGAATAAGTCCCTCAAGCCATCGGTATTTTTAATAGAGAATTTCCAAAGTTCCCCTTTTGTTCTACCATCAAAGCCCATGCATATTAATGCCTTTTAAGAAAACAGTTTGAATATTATTTCCTCAGCAACAAATAAACAAGCAAAACAGCAAATTAGAGCTGTAAGGTTTTAAGAAAGTAAAATTTTCTTTTCACAAGATCAATCATCAATCTTTGATGTCTGGGCGTTGTAAAGACTCCTTTAAACACAGTGAGGTTTTAAAGAGAAGAAACAGAACAGCATGATTGCAAGCTGATAGAGTGGGCAGATGAAGATCTGTAACTCACTGATGTTCTCAGTTCCACGCTTTAAAGATCTGACCCTCTGAACTTGCTTTCCATGATGCAGGGTGGAGCCTTCATCCTGCAGCTGCACACAGAAAACATCTTCACACCATGCTGAGACTTTTTTCTTTTCCCAGTAGTTGTTAATTGGATGAACCTTAATCCTAAAATGCTAGGATGTTAATATTCTGCATTGAAAAAAAAAAAACAACAAGTTAAACCAGGGAAGTTCAAAAAGTACTATGAAAGAAAGAAAAGTATGGAAGGATTTTTAAATTATTTATTAACTAAATAGGTTTTGCACTTCATTTTTTAAAAAGTATTTATTTATTTGAGAGACAGATGATAGAGAGAGCTCCCATTAACTGGTCCACTCCCCAGCTGCTGGAAATGGTCTCGGTCAGGAGCTGAGAACTCAGTCCACAGATCCAAGTCCTCAAGCACTCCAGGGTGTGCGTTAGCAGGAAACTGGCATAAGGAGCAGAGTGGGACTGTAGTACACGTGTTCCACTGTGAGATGTGGGTGTCCCAACTGGTTGCTTACTTTCCAGGCCAAATGCCTCCCCCAGGAAGGTAATTTTTGAAAGGCAATAATGGAAGATGAAAATGTAAGAGTGTTTTTCTGTAGTCAAGATGGCCTTTCTTGTTCAATTTTGGTCCCTTTCCTGGTTGCCTGTGTCTAATTGCTGCATCTTCTGCCTTATGAACCAGGAATTGAATCAATCAAATAATCCATGCAATATAAATCAAGACATACTCCATACTACTATTTTTTACAATCCAATATCTGGACTTAGAGACCCTTATTCACAGAAAAGATAGGAACATACTGTACTATGAGGGCAGGCACCAGCCGACATGTCCAGTCCTGCAACTTGCTACTTTCTAGGCTCTCTGAGTTGTTCTTATCTCTCCAAAACCCATTTTTGAGTTTCTATCATTGATAAATGAAATAAAACACAATGTCAGTAGCTAGGAGTGGAATATCTCTTGTATGCACCTAATGCTTTATAGTTTATAAGGCACTTGACTATTATTTTGTTCTAGTTTTGTGAAGATTAGTAAAGGGGAAAAGCATTAATTCCATAAATAACCCAATGCAGGCTTGCTTGCTGTACTTGTCTCATTTCCCTGTGATATTGTTCCAAATAAGAGGCAGCATTTTACAGTTGCAGTAGGTCAGGCACATATGCCTCTCTTCATTTCATAATTGAAATCACAGGGTCTCAGTAACACTAAGAAATGTGTTTGAAGTTAGTTAAGGGTAGACAGGGAGGTAGAGCTTGGGTCTGGAATGTTGTCCAGAGTGCATGTTCAGGGCCTCCAGACCACCCCCATCCCCAACCCTAGATCCCACGAACTACCCCTGGGGCTGGCCTGGGAGGAAGGGTAAGTCAGCAGAGGGGAGACTTGTCAGCTTGGACTCTAATCCATTTCTTCTCCTTTCCCCTGTAGTCAGCTGTTGGCTTTGATTATAAAGGAGAAGTGGAGAAGCACACATCCCAGAAAGGCAAGGACCCCTATGCTTGAGCCTCGGCAACCCAGCTGGCCTCTGTTCCCTTTCCAGCCACTGCCATCAGCTGCTCTTGGCCCATGACCGAGCTCCCCACTACTTGTTCTTTGTTCCTCTATTGCATTCTGTGGCATTACTAAATTTTCTTTAGTCCCCCTTTTATTTGTCATGAGTTGAAAATAAGATATCCTCCTTTGTTTTAATAGGTTATCAACATGTATTTGGGATATAAATTTATAATTTATCATTATCTCTTTCTAAATAATGTAGGAAACATGCAGCGTTTAAACTTAATTCTTTGTACCAATCATATTGCTGTCTGGTACATGTATTTTAGTCAGGGTTTAAACAAAATAAATCATTATTACCTGGCAAATGCTTATCTAAATTGACTGATATATTGACCAATTTCCTGGCTTATCAAGGTTTATAGGATTTTTTGTTTCCTCCTTGCTTTTTATATTATTTTCTTGCTAACATTTATCCAGTTATAAGTCTTTCAGTGAGTGTGTGAAGCAATTCCCGATCTTGGAACAACACTTTTGTTTTGCGGCCTCATTCTCTGTTATCTGCTCTTTAACTCCTTGAAGACATCTCTCTTATGTCAGTCTATTTAGTATTCCTTTATAGGTACATGTGTTGCCTCTTTTATTGTTATGAAAATTCCACATTTTGTCTCTGACATGCTCTATAATGTTATCAGCATGAACTTAGGTGTTAGTTTTATTTTTTAATTATACAATATGAAGCTTAGTGACCCTCTTCAATCTCAGATATAATTTCTGTTCTGGAAAGTTCTCAAGCATGTTCTCTTGAGTAGCACTGCTCCTTCTCATTTCTTCTGGAATTCCTACTGGCTTGTATATTAGACCTTTTAAATCTCTTTCCAGTGTCTCTTAATTCCATTTCTTTTTTCTGTTTATTTTCTGAGTAGCATTCTGGGTAGTTTCTTTGGGTTTATGTCAGTTAATTTTTTCTTTTAGGTATACTGAGTTATTGTTCAATCAGCTGGTTAAGTTTTTAATCATTCTTTCAGATCTCTTAATTTCCATAAGTTCCTTTTGGTTCTATTGCGAATCTGCTCATTCTTTTCCCATAATGACTCATTGCTTTCATCACAATATCTTTTTTCTTTGATCTCTTTAATGATTTTAAATGTATGTATAGTTTTTTTCATATATTTTATATTTGAATAATTATCTGTTCAATTGTTTAATCTTTCCTTCATGTTGTTTATTTCTTAGGTCATTTGTAATTTTTGTGGTGAACTTATTTCAGTAGAGTAGAGGGTATTTATTTATTTGAAGATCCATGAATCAAACTGTAAGCATCATGGAGAAATTTTACCTCTACTTTCTGAGTTCTAAAAGTTTTAGAATAATGAGCTACTTTTCTTTACTTTTTCCCTCATTAAATCTCTTAAATAGTTATAACTCCACTTAGTCTATCTTTTCCTAAGTCAGGAATTTGTATATTTCATCCATATTGTCAAATTTAGATATGTCTTTCTTTTTTTTTTTTTTTTTTTTTTTTTTTGCAAAGTCAGATATATAGATAGGAGGAGAGACAGAGAGGAAGATCTTTTGTCTGATGATTCACTCCCCAAGTGATCACAATGGCCAGTGCTATGCCAGTCTGAAGCCAGGAGCCTGGAGCTCCTCTGGGTCTACCACGTGGGTGCAGGGTCTGAAGGCTTTGGGTCATCCTTGACTGCTTCCCCAGGCCACAGCAGGGAGCTGGAAGGGAATCAAGGAATCCAGGATTAGAACCAGTGCCCTCATGGAATCCTGGTACATTCAATATGAGGAATTTAGCTCTAGGCTACTGTGCTGTACCCTATGTCTTTCTTGTTTTAACTCCTGTAATATCTGTAGTGATATATGTATAATATGACCATTTCATTTCTCTTCTTGTTCTTCAGCATTTTTTGTCTTTCCAACTAATTTTTCTTACTAAAAGTTCATAAATTTAACTATTGTTTTCAAAGATCTTACTGGGACATGAACTGGCACCCATTTGGGATCCAGGAGTATGCAAGGCAAAAAACTTTTAGCCACTAGGCTACTATGCCAGGCACAGTTTGTTCTTTTTCTTGATTTTTAAAAGAAACATTAGGGTGATTTTAAGCCTGGATATCTAAGAACCTTAAATTTCCCTCTAAACACTATTTTTGGTGTATTAGGGAATTTTTTTCCATTTTGTTGGTATTGGCTTTAAATAAGTTATCAAAATCTAATTTCTAATATTTAAATCTTTTGAAAAGTATTGAGACTTACTATATCAATGATATATGGTCTATTTTTGTGAATTTTTTCTGTGTGTGAAAAAATTAAATTTTATAGTGTTTGGGTATAGTGTTCTATAATAGTTAGATCTTTTTTGTTAATACTGGTTGAACCTTTTGTAAGCTTACTGATTTCCTTTTGTGTGAAATATCTATCAGCTAATGAGAAAATGGTGTTAATATTTTCTTTTTTTAAAAAATTTTCCAATTTTGTTTTAAGATTTATTTATTCCTTGGAAAGTCAGAAATACAGAGAGGAGGAAAGACAGAGAGGAAGATCTTCCGTCTGTTGATTCACTCCCCAAGCGGCTGCAATGGCCAATGCTATGCCTATCCAAAGACAGGATCCAGGAATGGGTGCAGGTCCCAAAGCTTTGGGCTGTCTTTGACGGCTTTCCCAGGCCACAGGCAGGGAGCTGGATGAAAGTGGAGCTGCCGGGATTTGAACTGGCACCATATGGGATCCTGGCGTGTTCAAGGCAAGGACTTTAGCCGCTAGGCCACGCTGCCAGGCCTGGTGTTAACATTTTCAACAATGCTCAGATTTGTTTATTTTAGCTCCTTACTTTTGTGAGTTTTTGCTTAGTGGATTTTATTTTATCATTGAGCTTATGTCAGCATACATAGTCCTGATGAATGACTGAGGATTCTTTTCACCCTTGTGTCATATCCTTATCTCATACAATGTACTTTCTCTTGAGGTCTGTGTTGGTTATAGTCATGCTTTCTTTTCTGTGCATATTCTTTTCATGGAATGTGCTTTCCTGGATCATTATTTATGTTACAGTTTCAGTTTAGCATTCCTGAAGTACATAGCAATAAAAAGAAATGGACATTTGTATTCCACACTCAAGTATAGGCCTGGAATTTTCAGATCTTTTACGTAGGCGTCCCTTTTACTAAATGCTGAATAGACTACAAGTCCTCTCTTTTGCTAGAAAGTTAGAATTTGTCTTCCTTGATAGGAGAGGGCAGATCCTTATTTCTGGCTCCTCCCTTCTTTACCCCCATTCTTGTATAGAAAATTGGGTCCCAGACCATAGATCCTAACTGCTAGTCATTAACTTGGAACCAATAGGACCCTTCGGTTTTCTGAAGTGTCAGCTCATGATTATCCTTACGATTTCAGCTTCGATTCATCTGTTTGTTTCTGAGGCCAGATTCTTCTCTTCTGCTATTGTTCTGTGCTTTGGTAATTCCCCTCCCCAAATGTATTTTAGCTGGCACATCTGTGCATTTATATGGGTGTAAAGAAATGTATGCATTTCATATGTGTCTGCCTTTTTTTCCTCTGGGCACCTCTGTGCAGTACTTGATCCTTCCTTAAAGAAGGGAGAAATTTGGAAATGATCTCATCTTGTGTTGGACATGAGAGAGGGGAGGAGAAGAATGAGCAGTGTCCACTTAATTCCCCTGCATTTGAGTCCTCCTCTCTGCCCAGGCGTCCATCACTTTGCGCTCCTGCCTGTTAGCTTCGCTCATCTCTAGCACTCCTTGTGATCTGAGAATGGGCTCTCATGACTGCTCTTTCAACTGCAGATTACTCCCGTGGTTTTGGTGGCCGTTATGGGGTGGAGACGGATAAACGGGACAAGGCAGCTCTGGGCTATGACTACAAGGGAGAGACAGAGAAGCATGAGTCCCAGAGAGGTGAGCTGGGTTTGGGATGAGGGTGGGTCACAGCAGAGCATAGAGACTCCTTCCTTCTTTCCTGGACTGTGACCCAAGGGCCCCAGAATAGAGAGGCAGATGAATGTGTGCTGGGTGGGTGTTGGGGGACATTCCATGGAAGGTGGAGAGGAAATAAAAAGATTAGGTTTAGGATAAAGGAAAAAAGCCAAAGAGAAGGGATCATGGAGCGAGATATGAAAAATGAGGATGGCCAGAAGGTGGTGGGCCCTGTGCTTCACGTGGGACTAAAAGTTTACTTCCTCCCTGGGATAAAAAGTGAATGGCCAGAGGGCTCTTATTTATTCTTTTCTTTCTATTTATCCTCATCTGTAATTTGTACTTTTATGTTGCTCTCTTTCCATCTTCCTTACTCTTTTGCAGATTTTTTTCTCCTCATATTTTTCTCTCTCTTCCCGGCCATTCCTCCCAAGCCCGATTCCCACAGTCACTCCCACAGTCCTGTCTTCTGGTCCCTCTTGCTGTTGCTCCCTCTCCCTCCCCATTCCCAGCGTGTTTATCTCCTTATGACTCATAGGACTTTCTGTCTAACAGATTATGCCAAGGGCTTTGGTGGCCAGTATGGAATCCAGAAGGACCGAGTGGATAAGGTAAAGTACCAGCAAACTATTGTCTTGAGCAGAGTTCCCGAAGTCTAAGGAAATGTGCAAGGAAGAGTAAGAAACAAGGCTGGGAGAAGGACAGGACAGTGGTGCTGGGTATCCTGGGTCTGTCCTGCTGGTATCCTGCTCTCCCCAGTGATTTCCCTCTGCATCTAATGGGCATGTCTTCTAGAGCTTCAGCTCTGACAAGAGGAGAGGGAGGCAGGGAGAGGCAGAGAGAGGATGGTCGGGGAGAGGTAATGTTACACTTGAAATTTCATGGCTCTTGACATTGCTTGGCCCTTTGTTTAGTCTATTCCCATTCTGGCTCCCTGGCTCCGTTATTGTTGTTCCCCCTTGAATGTTTGCCAGGGACACTGCTACATTTTAAGCAACTGGACTTGGAAGCATCATTGAACTTTCAAAAAAGTGATCTGAGCTCACCAGTTTAGAATTTCTTTGGTCCTCTTTCCACCGAAAAAATAATATTAGAATATGGTGTTCAGCTCTAAAGCACCAAATGGTCAGGGATACCCCCAGTCCTGCTTTCTGCATCACTATGGCCTCTCCTCTCCCTCATGCCACACATACTATTCTCTACCTGCAGAGTGCTGTAGGTTTCAATGAAATGGAGGCCCCAACCACAGCTTATAAGAAGACAACACCCATCGAAGCTGGTGAGTTGTAGTGATTACTTCTGTGGTCAACGCCCTCTCCCTTCATATCCTTCTGCTTTCCTAGCCTATTTATTCTGTGCTTGTTAACTACTGAGGTTAGTTGAGATGTACTTGATCCCTAGTTCATATTCTCCAATTCTGTCTCATTGAAAACCCAGGTCAGGTAGATAGAGATAGATAGGCATTGAGAAAGGGAGTAGAAGTGGGATGGAGAACCACTTGGGAAGAGGGATGGGGACAGGAGCTTGGAATGTGGTAGAGGATGGGTGGTGACCAAAGGGCCTAAGGATCTAAGAAATAATATCAAAGAAAGATGTGGAAGAGGGCATGAAGGCTTATGATTTTGAAAGGGCAAGTAACCTCTGGTAACATAGTCCAGGACATGGAAATCTAGGCTTCAAAACTAACCACCCTCCCATGATCTGCTTATCCCTCCATCAGTATCTCTTTTTGTCCTCCCCAGGAGTTCTCTCCACATCTAATCTCCTCTTCCTTCAAGTACCCCTATTTCCCCCACCCTCTAATCCAAGGCAACCCTATTTCTTCTTGCTGGTGCTTGTAGCTTCCAGTGGTGCCCGTGGGCTAAAAGCAAAATTTGAATCCATGGCTGAGGAGAAAAAAAAGCAGGAGGAAGAGGAGAAGGCACAGAGGATGGCCAGGCAGCAACAGGAGCGAAAGGCCATGCTGCAGATAAGCCGCGAGGCTCAGCAGCCAGTGGTGCCTGTGGAAGAGCCAGCAGCGCCAGCCCCATTGCCCAAGAAAATGCCTTCAGAGGTGAGTTCCAGGCCTTTGGAATATACCTCCAGGAGGACTGCCTAGCCAGGAGTCTAAAAGATCAAAAGTACTGGTGAAAAATAAAGTAGTAGGACAGATCTGTGTTAGGGAGAGTCTGCTTTCCCTACCTTCAGGCAAATTCCAGTTTCTCTTTGTAATTGTGCCTCATTGATCAGGTTGCTCTAAGACAATAGAAAATGACAACAAAGCTTACATATTACGCTAGCAGGCAGGTGACCACTAAATACAGCAATCATTGCTGCAGGAACTAAGAGGTAGAACACAGGCTGAGGACTGAGTTCCATCTGGGCTGGCAGAGGGGAAGTAGAGTGCTCCAGGTGGGGTTCAGAGGGAAGGTGGAGGCTTGCCTACCAGAGACGCTTCATCCTCCACAGGCCTGGCCTCCAGCTAGGAAGATTCCGCAGCCAGAGCCTGAGCCCGTGCCAGCCAGCAGGGAATGCCCAGTGCCTTCCCTCCCAACAAGACAGAATCTCCCAGAGGTAAGCAGGCCGCAAACTTTTCTGCCCCCTATCCAATCTTCTGATATCAAGTAGGTGGACTATGTGGAGTGACCATCATTGTTTGCCTGGGGTGGTTCTGCTGTTCGCACAGAAAGCCCTCATCAGGGACACTCCCCAGTCCTGTGCAAGTAAGAACAGCTGGTCAGCCCAACGATGCTCTATCTCACTTCAAAATTTTCTCGTCTTCAGAGGAATCTGACTCACCTCGACTTCCTTACCCCCCTTCCGTTTATGTACACCTTCACACCTTGAGAGTGAAGGAAGAGACTGAGGAAATCAGAGGGGTGCAAGACCATGTCTCAGGGAGAGGCTGTTAGGTGGGGACAGAGGCTAGTGACAGCTGGGGTCCACACAGTCCTCCACTGAACACGTGGTGGGTTCTCCTGCTGAGTGGAGGCCATGCTGCTGCACACTGTCTTTGTTCAGGACAATGAGGAGCCCCCAGCCCTGCCCCCTAGGACTCCAGAAGGCTTCGAGCTGCAGGAAGAGCCCGTGTATGAGACGGAGCCTGTGCCCGAGCCAGAGAATGACTACGAGGATGTTGGAGAGGTGTGTGAGCAGGACAACGAGCCGGAGGGGGACTATGAGGACGTTCTTGAGCCTGAGGAACCCCCTCATCCCTCTGAGCCATCCGGTGAGTGGTGGGCAGAAGCACTTCCTGAACTGAGTCACAGGTGTGGAGGAGCATGGTGGGAGGTACTGGACAGGAAATTGTCCCACTGTGGGCGGATCTGTCTCTGTTTGCCTTCTCCATGTTGGTGAGCCCTTGTTTCTATGTCTCTGCCTGCAGGAGCACCAGGCTGCCCAGCTGGGCTTGGGGCTGCGGGGATCTCAGCTGTGGCCCTGTATGATTACCAAGGAGGTGGGTTAACAGGGCGTGGAGGGCTACTGCTGGGAGGCAGATACAAGAGGAGGGAGTAGCTTCTGGGGGTTAGGGAAGGACCTAAGCTTGGCATCAAGAGGAAGGCCAGGTCTGTCTGCCTCCCTGAGGTTTGCAGTGGGCACTGGGATAGACAGGTTCCTGTCTGACATGCTAACATCCCCTCAACTGCCTTTCCAGAGGGAAGTGATGAACTCTCCTTCGATCCGGATGACATCATCACAGACATTGAGATGGTGGATGAGGGCTGGTGGCGGGGACGTTGCCGTGGCTACTCTGGACTCTTCCCTGCCAATTATGTGAAGCTCCTCTAGTGATATATCCTCTCCACCTCCTACATGGCAGCTCCCTACTTTCAAAGTGACCCTATTATACTCCATCCCCATTCCTGCTGGGAGGGCCTAGGGTTCTGTGCAGATTTCCTTCTGCTTTGTTCAGGGCTTGGGGCAGGGACAGGAGGAACGGGGGTCCCCTTCACACCCATGTCCTCTCTACCCTGGATGAGCTCCTGGCCATTGTTTCATGTCCCTGCCTCCTTCCCCATGGATGCCCCTCCATGCACCCAAATTCTGCTCTATTTCATTGTGAGCTTGGGGTTTCCAGTTTCCTTAACTGGAAGAGGGAATTTGGATTGTCTGGTTATGCTGTTTACCCATTTTCCTTCCCCACAGAGATATATCTGGACCTTCTCTACTCAGTTCTAAAATTGCAATAAAGTGGGACAATGGTTCCCCTCTAAGCTGAGGTCAGTGTTACCTTCTGTGCAGGCTCCAATGGCCTTGACTCTCATGGCTTCAGGTCTTCCTTCTTACCACTGCCAGGCTGTACCACCCTTGCAACCTGGATGTCAAGACCCAGGCCTTTTTCCTTAGGTGACACTTTAACTCCAGTCCAAAGCAGATCGTCCTAGGGAATGGCAGGAAGCTGGGATCACAGGGGGCCAGGTGCCCTCCATACCAAGATAATTCAACATCCACTAGATCTAGCAGCTGTGGGAAGTAATAGCCACACATTTTAAGAACATGGTGATTCACGAGGACAGGGAGGAGGAGAAGGAAAGTTTTACCAACAGAAAAGAGTGAAGCTAAAGGAAAGTAAACTCAAATGAGGTTTAAAAGAATGTTGAATCAGAAACCGTGGTGTATCCCAGACCACATGCTATTGTGCTCAGCTTCAGCAAGGTCAGAGTTAGGTGGGGATCCTAGGACACAATCAAAGTGACAGTCAGGAATTTGACATAGGGGGCTTTAGGTTTATAGGACACAATAAGTGTATGCTATTGCAGTGTTGAAGGCAGACCCAGGTTTCAAAGATAGAGAAGGCGAAAATCAAGGAGTTTTGCAATTCTTGCATTTATGGCTGCACAGGGCTGGTGAGTTGCCCATGTGGCTTCCTCTGGGACTTTCTTCAGGACACTCATTCCTTAAGTTTGACCATTACCTCTATGCCATTGATTTGTGAACTTGTCATCTGTAGACCTAACTCACAAGATTCACCCTATGGGCTTTTCAGAAAGGAGAACACGCTTTATTTCCTGTTATAGAGATTTTGGAATTTCCAGTATGCAGAATTAAATCATACATACACAAGATCTCACTTAGATTAATCATACGTCAGACTTCGGTGATGGCTTTCCTGATACAGCTCCAAATTCCACTTTTTCTTTTATGATGATATGGAAACTTCCCTTCCAGATCCCTGTGCCACTGAAGGCAGCTAAGTTCCTTCTGCCTCAGTTCCGTGGATTCATCTCCATGGTGGATGGCTCTCGGTGGTGGTAATAGTCATCAGGTAGTCTACATGGAGACATCTCTCCTGCCAGGCTTCTATTTCTGCTACCTGGGCCCTCTTCATGCTCCTGAGCTGCTGCTTAATCTACACTCACTTCTGGCAGTCTTGGCCACTGTCAGGTAACTCATTGTTCGCCCTGTTGCTACAGCGTCATCTTGCCACTCTCACCATCTCTGTCTAACCCAGTTTCTCCGAGTGCCTTCTCTTCTACTCTAGATGTGCCCCTTTCCTCGTTGAATGTGCTTGTTTCTGTGGTCCGGGAGGTGTCTGCAGTGCCCTGGTTTCCTGTAATGCATGCAACTACAGAGAATATAAATGTGTTTGATGATGTTGATCAATTCAGTTATGTTCTGACAGAAGTTAAGGGATGACAAATATGTAGCAGCAAGGCTACATCCTTGCTCACTCCCATAGCAGTTACAGGAAGTGTCCCCTTAACTTGGGCTGCCTGTACCCACCCTACCAGCTAGTAATGGGTAAGTCCTCTAATTTCTTCCTTTCTCTATACAGCACCTTGTTTTTCACTAATTATATTCATTGCATTCATATGCATTGGGTCTACCATTCTCTCTTTCTCTAACAAGTCCAGAGTGGTCTTTAGGAGCTTTCTGCCTTTGTGTGGAAACACATGGAACTGATACCAGAAAGTGTGCTCTCTCTTGTCTTTCCCACTTCAGTATGTACTTGTTTTCATATACTCACTTTCATGGAATGAAATCTTAGATCACACTCTGGTTACATTGTTAAAAGGTGTTAAAAAAAAAAAAAGGTGGGAGAAAAACAAACCTGACAATAAGGATTAAAAAAAAAACAGATTTGCACTACCAAACAGTACTAAGTGGCATATTAGTATGAGGCTAGGAGTGTTATTTCTGGTTCATTTGCTCTCCTCCCTCTTCTCAGTGGTGTCAGCTACTTTCCCCACATCAGCTTTGGGACATGTTCCGAGACAGACCTAGGCAGTCATGACCAAACTGACTAGACTTCGTTCTGCTGGCTAAATTTTAAATTCTGCTTCCCTTCATTACCTCATTAGCTCTCCTCCATTTTCCCTATTTATCACATGCTAAGAAAATGCCAGAACTGGTGGGAAAATGGCATAAATTAAGGGAAGAGAGATATAATTTCAACGCAAGTAACTTTCCCAGTTTCAGGTCTACCCAGAGGGAGCCGAAAGCATACATTCTTGTATGTATCTAAAGACCTTGAAGCCATGTTTAAAAAGTCATGTCTATCTAGTTCTCAATTTAAAGTCACCATTTTTCTGGACCCTATTTAGAAAAGAGCAACATTAAATCAGCTCTGTTGGTGACTCTAGCCGGCTGTGTGACATGATTCTGCTGTGCTCAGAAATCAGCATGTCCCACGTAGTTGTCACTGGTGTGGTATCCTTAGGGGACATTTTCTCCTAGAGGACATTAGCAAGGTCAGGAAAAAGTTGGGGTTGTCACCATTGTAGGGGTGCTGCTGAAATTTCATGAATAGAAGCTAAGGACTGTAAATATTCTGTAATACACAAAACAGTCTCTTATGACAAAGATTCATATTGACAAAATGTCAATAGTTCCAAGGTCAGAAACCCTTCTTTAGGAGAGACCTGTTTCAATGGTGAATTTTGGAAACTTTGCCTCTGATCTCGGATACTGAGTGCTTACCAGAAGCAACAGCATCACCCATTTGTCATGGGCTGGAAGTAGGAAAAGCTACAGAGAGCAGTATTTCTGGGGAATCATTAAGTTAATGTACCTTCCTCTCCGAAAGCCCCAGTGAGGTCCCCAATTTGTGCCTAATTACCACTGATACCACAGGAACTGCTGGGATCTTGTCTAGCATTTGGCAGATGTGTGGTCTCTTTGTTCTGCACTGCATCCTGTTGGGTACGAATGTATTCAGGCCATTTCAGAAGGCAAGGTAACTCAAGCCTATGCCTGTGCTCTCTCTGTCCCAGACCTAGAATATTATGTTCAAAATAAGCCAATTTTTATTCTTCTTATTAAAATGTTAAGAAGTAGGCTTGTGGCTTTTTGCCCTAATTTCCCCCCTAGTGTAAGTACAGTATCTCCATTTGAAGATTTTCCTTCTTTGGTTACCAAGAGTCTATTCAGCAGACTCTGTGACCTCATTTCTGCCCCTAACTCTTTGGCCTTTGGTATCCTTGAGGCCACTGGCACAGCCAAGAGGCCCAGTGCTGTTGGGCTATATTGAAACCACCTGGGATTAGAGGCAGTAGAGTAACCTAAAAAGTCCTGGACTTGACTATCAAGACACAACTAGCCCCAGAGCCTTTGAGCTGATGTCCTTCACCCTGGATGCTCTGGGAGGTAGTTCTGCACTTTTGTCCCTGTCTCTGCATTGCTTGCCCCATGAATTTGAAAATGCTACAAACCAAAAGCACAGGGATATGCTGGTTATGAAATTTTATTGCTTTCTCATTTCCTAAGAACTTGGGTTTGTCTTTCAAATGGCTTCGAGTTACTTCTTTTTTCCTAAGACTGATCTCGTTTAGAACAAGAAAATCAGTCATCAACGTGGCACTATAGTGTGAGTCATAACTTAAATTCTTAAACTTTCTCAGGTTTTGAAGCACGTTGTATGTTCCATTCAGATAAGCACATATGGAGTTTACAAAGCCAGGGGAGGGGTCTTCAAAACCATACTCTGTCCTACTTTCAGTAACACTCATCAGAAATCCAAGAATGGTCGTGTCGATGTCCTCAGGAGGCTTGTCTTGTATGAGGTCGGGCTCTGAAGGTGGAGACTAAGCTCTTCCGGGGTTGCTCACGGGGCCGACACATGCTAGTTAAGAGAACAGGATCTGTCCTGTGTTCTATGACGTTGAAAGGACAGGTTTTCAGGTGCTCAGACATGGAGGTGACTTCATTAAACTCCCAGCTCTTGATTTTGGAGAAGAGGCTGCTGAACTGCCAAATCTGTAGAGAAGGATAAAAGGATGCTCACAGGTGAACTTGGGGCGGCACCTGCAGGCTGACTTTTACTGAACATTATAGAGCAATGCCTCTCTCCTTCCTATTCTTAGTCTCTAGAGTAGTGGGTGACTACTGCAAACATCTTTAGTTCCTTCTCCAGCATGCAATCCCCCTAGCTGTCCTTCCTAGCAATAATCTTCTAACTAGCCATGTGGTTGTGTAAGAATGACCAATAGTAGTTAGCAGTGGAACATACATCCCCTGCTCCATCACCACCAAATGTGGTTAGTTCTAGAGTAGGCACATAGTTCAAACTGAGACGTACAAAATCACTCCAGAATATCCAAAAGCAGATTCTCCTTTTCCCTTTTGCAGCCTGGGGAGCTGCCATTAGCCACCAGAGCAACCAAGAAACTGCCATAGCATGAAGCCACTATCGTTTCTTGGCTTTTTGGCTAAGATCAATGTAGCATGAAGCCATTACTGAGGAAGCAGAGGTAAGAAATAGAAAGAAAAAGATCATCTGGGTATAATTACTAAGCTGGTAGATCAAGCCTTACAAGAAACAATTACTTCTGTTTTTTTCTTAGTTACATATGCCAATGAATACCCATTATTATTGGTGACCTCTTAAGTTGGTTTCTATTGCTTGAAATTAAAACCCTCTAACTAATGAAGGTTACAGGTTCCTCAGGGGATTCCTTGATTCTGATACTCAGTGCAGCACTCTCTGGCCTTTCCACCTGAGCAGTGGTGGCAAAGTCATCAGTTTCCCAGTCTGTGTTCATGAGCATGCGTGTAACTCGATAACCTTTCAACCTGACACTTCATCTTCATTTTCTTCTCACTATTCCCATGTAAGACAATTATTTTCTGGAATATTATAACTGTCTCTCTTTTTGTTATTTAAAAACAGCCACTTTGATATGTGTTTTAGATTCAACTAAGTTCTCTTTGTTTTTTCTCCAAGGAAGATAGTTTGTTCCATATGATACCCAAGAGTGGTCAGTAACCACTGATTTGGGA